TGCACTTTGGATATTATTAATTATATCACATATTTGATCCCAAATGAGTGTATGATTATAGGAGGGGACTTTAATGCAAAGCACGAGCTGTGGGAACCGGGGGTGATCGCAGCCAATCAAGGGGTGCAGCTCGCAATATGGGCAAACGAGCAGGGTATGGAGTTTATAGGTACCCCAGGCATATCTACCCACGCAAGAGGGCATGTGCTAGACCTAACCTTCTCTAATGTACTATTCGCTTATACAGAGATGCTGGAAGAACTTCACTGTGGATCTGATTATACTACTCAGGTTATCAATCTAGCGAACCACGGAACAACAGAGTGGGATCAGTACCACTACTGGATAAAGGAGGCGGATCTGCCGAGATTGGGTGGACTAATGGCCAATCAGCTAGCCCACCTCAGTAATGTAGATATCCAGACCACAACCGAGATCGAGATCTATGTTAGTGAGCTGGCGAAAGCGCTAGACAAGTCGATCCGAGTGGTTGGCAAGATCGATCGAAAGGCAGGGAAAGCCTCGCCATGGTGGACGGATGAGTGCAGAGAAGCTCATCGAGCATATATAGAAGCACGGAGGGGAACGGACTTGGAAAGGAAGACTCATGCTACACACTTTTTACAAAAAGTAGTGCGACAAGCCAAGAGATCCTATTGGGCTATGCGTCTAGATGGGGTCAAGGACGATAAAGAACTCTATCGAATTATGGGATGGCATAAGTTGACCCCCGAAAGTAATGCGAAATCCCCCTCCCTAATAATCGGTGAGCGGGAGATCTGCGATACAAGAGAGAAAGCGGACGCTCTATTTACAGTGGTTCTGGATCGATTCAAGGCGGACGATGATCTTCCAAATGATCCACTACGCAATCAAACACACAAGGGGACCCTCCCCTGGAAAAGAACGATCTCGGCTGAAGAGGTAGAAAAGCACGTCATAGGAGCCTCGTGTACTGCACCAGGAGTGGATCGAGCCACTGTGCGCCTCCTTAAGGCATGCTGGCCGAGCGTCAAGTCACTGATCCGGGAGATATTTGCATCATGCCTAGCTCTAAACTACTACCCAGAAGGATGGAAGCTAGCGGAGGTAGTAATGATTCCCAAGGTAGGCAAGAAAGACAAAACGTCACCGCGGTCGTAGCGACCAATAGCCCTGATCTCCTGCATCGGAAAGGGTCTCGAACGGTATATAGCCAGCCAAATATCTTGGATAGCTCTGAGACATAAAGTAATCAGCCCACAACACTGCGGAACGCTCCCCAGAAGATTAGGGACAGATCTAACAGCTGCCTTCACTCACAATGCGGAGCTCGCATTAGCAACTGGCAATGTAGTTTTGATTATTACTATAAATGTACAGGGAGCTTTTGATGCTCTCTTGAAATATCGACTCTTAAGCTGAATAATCAAACAAGGGTGGCCAACTTCGCTGCTCAAGTTGATAAACTTATTCCTTATAAACAGAAAAGTCAGAATGAGACTCGAAGGTATTACAACTGAGGAGTATCTAGTGGCATACAGTATCCCTCAGGGGTCCCCACTATCACCTATACTCTATATGCTCTATCTTGCTGAGCTCCTCAATCGAGATACGAAATTCCGTTTCGGCTATACAGATAATATCGTGATCTACTACTCTTCCAAGTATCTCTCTACGAATACTAGGATCCTACAACAACAAATACAGCAGATCATCAGATGGAACAAGGAGAACAGAATCCTATTCGCCTCTGAGAAGTTCGAACTACTTTATATTATCAAACAACATGATATCACTAATCCATCATTGGTAGTGAATCCAGATCTGATAATTATTTCAATACCGATTGCAACAAGTGAAAGCGTTCAGTCTACTTTAAGATGGCTGGGCATCTTCTTCGATCGCTGGCTTTCATTCTTACAATATGTTAAAACATGTATAGTGAAAACTATGAAAATAGCTTTACATATCAGATCGATCGCTTGCACTATATATGAGCCGCTAGCTTCCTTTCTAAGAAAAACAGTGATCATCTGTGTTCTCCTAGTAGCATTATTCGGCATGGAAGTATAATATGCTGGTAAATATAAGCTTAGCCTAGGCTAAAGTGATTTAAGTATAAGTGCAGGTATAAAAGGTCATTTTCATTGTATTAATAAAGTAATCAATACTGCTACAAAAGGAGTAATCTCAGTATACAAGACTACACCAATCGCAGCTCTTATCAAAGAAGCGGGCCTGCCATCGGGGATAGTCGCGCTAGAACATGCCAAGCTGTGATTCGTATTTCGTTTAAAAACGATCGACAATCAACATTTGCTAGTAAATCGTTTGAAGCCAGTAATACAAAAACGCAGACAAGGAGCAGGCACAGCAAGAGGGCCTTTTACAAGAATCCAGCGGCTCAGCCGTCTCATCCCAGAGATGTAATGCTTGAAGCTACTCCGCCTGCACTTCTCGAGTAGCTGCAGAATGGATCTAACGAAAGGATTAATCAAAAAAGAAGTAGCTCAAGCCTTCAAAGAGTGATGGCGACAACTCCCACCCGAAAACTACACAATCTTTTCTAATGGATCAGAATAAACTATTGATCGCAAACATTGTATTGGCTACGGATATACAATATATCGCAATAGCATTCAAATAGCCTCCGGATTTAAGCAGATCCGAAGCGACTTACATATATTCGATATAGAAGCGATAGGAGTATGGCGTGGATTGGAGTATCTAATCACTATGCTTGAAGATCCCTTGAACAGCCGGATCTGGATGTGTATTGACAGTACATCGGTCATCTGGGGCATACACGGAAACGCATCGCCTACAATACAATGAGCCTTCCACAAGTATTATAAAGCAATAAAACAATTCGACGTCAGGATAAAGTGGTCACCTGGACATATGGAGATCGAAGGTAATGAGGAAGCAGATCGCTTAGCAAACACAGGCGCAATTGGGCCTATGGACCAGGCAATCGACAAGCTACCAACAATCAGTGGGGTTCGAACGATCGTTCGTCAGAAGTGTCTATACGCAGAATCTACCTGGTGGGAAGAGATGAACTCCTCTCTCTCCGCTGGCTACAAGGAGTGGTCTCCTAGATACAGTACAAAGGAGCCAAAGGAACTAACTCTACCAAGAGCAGTCTTACATCGATTGATAGCTATGAAAACAGGCCACGGCGACTACGCCGCTTACCATCAGCGATTTGGTCATCAAAACAACAAGCTGGACTGCTCATGCGGCAGCGCTAAGGAACCATATCACTTCTTTAAATGCACTATAAACAACCTAAAGCGTTCAGACTGGCCCCTTGCCCCTGTAGAAATGCAATCTAACAAGCAGGCGATCACATATATCAAGAAACTCTTACACACACCTAGCAAGCTCACTCAGTTGATCACCAACTCAGAGTTCTATACTCAGATCTGTCCTAACTACTAAAGGACTCTTAGAAAGCAATAATCTTTTCAACAAAGCTTACTGCTCATCCCTTATAAACTCATCACTCAACTGATCACTCGAATACACTACACCCTAAAAACCGCAAACCCAATATATAACACAAGAGCCCTGCTGCTCGGCTAAACAAATAGTAACCCACTCTCGCTTCTTTTCTTTTACTATAAGGATCGAAGCCCACAATAAGCCTATCCACCCGGGAACCAAGCTCTGCCTTAATAACAATCCGGATCAGATGTTCCCTTCTGAAAACAGAAACGGATTGTATTTGCAGAGAAGCAAATAACCCCTGGCATTGAAGTTAAATTGCTAAATTCAGTCGCGACAATTACGCCGCTCAAATAGTTCCTTATCTTAGCACGTCTAAATACCCTTAGGGAGGTCCAAAACAGACGTTAATTAATATAAATAAATAAATAAATAAATTCGATTCTTAATATACTTATCAAAATATTTCAACTATTCTAAACCTATTTTATTATTTGTTTATTTATTAGATATAGATTTAATAATTTAATTTACAGGAAAATCGGTTTCAATATACCAATTAGAAAGATGAACCTATCCTTGAACCACTAAAAATAGGGATATAGTTTCACCCTCCCCATTATTATATATAATTACTATAGCTCATTCCCTATTGTCTGATTATATTGCCTTACTTTTGTTATTTCATTTAGCATTAGTTATTATCATTCCGGGGTATATTATATCTATTATAAAGTCTGTTTCATCGAAGTTGTAGAAATCGCAATCGAGAATACCGTATTTCATTTGTATATTCAAAACTAATCGAAACTATTTCTCAATAAACTTAAGATCTTTACAAAAAACCCTTTGAAAGTTATAAACACAATTAAAACGTGTCTTTAATTCGATTCGATACTTTACGAATCGATATATCCAAAGCTTTCCAATACGTTTTGCATTCTTCGATTCAAGAATATGATTCGCTATATCTTCTATTATTTTAAGTTTAGATGAAAATCCTCTTGAATCTATATTAAGTATATATTGAATCATTACTTTCTCTTCTAATTCTATAAGATTATAACAATTCGCTTGAGTTTTGATATAGGGAGTAAAACTATTCATTTTATGATTGAGTGTTGTATATGGTAAATTATATAGCTTAGCAGCTCTCCGAATACTAAGTTTTTTGTCTTTTTGAATAGTTTCAATAGCTAAAAGTATTTGAGCTTCTTTATTATTCAATTGTATTTCAATTGATTGATAAAACGCGTATTGAAGTAAGAGATCAAGAATTGAGGTGAAAGTGATCCACTTGGTGATATGATCCACTCGGTGATAAAACACGTTAGACCAAATTACCGAAAATCATTATGGAAATTTCACAATCTTGTGATTCTCAAGAGTAACTTCAAATATCTCATTCAAACAATGCGCAAACTAAATATGAATTAACAGCCGATAGTCTATGATAGACATTTATGTAGTTTAATCATAATGTCAAAGTCACATTTCCCATTTTCAAACCACAACAGTACCAACCTAAATTACCCCCAATTCAAAGCCACCCCACCCCCCCTCCCCTCTCACCCCACCCACTCCATCACCACCCCAAACATCTTCAACCACCTCTCCGGATCCCCCTTCCCCCCATCCTCCGGCAACGTCTCCGGATTCCCATTCTGCACCACCGCCTCCGCCAACGTACAAAAGCCCGTCTCCACAAACCCTACACTCCTGTAGAGTGTCTTCACCGTCAGATTTTCCGGATGCAGAAATACACGAATGCGTACTTTTTCTTTTCCTTCCACCTGTGCTTGGTTCCTCGCGCTCTCAACCGCACCTTGAATTAACATTTTCGCGAGTCCTTTTCTCCGATGCAGAGATGAGGAGTATAGCGCGATCATCTGGTATTTTAATTCCTGGGCATCAGGTCCCGGAGGCGGAGCACCGCCTAGAGGGAGTGTGAAAAATGACGCCGGGGAAGGTCCATAGAGTTGGACTGAGCCGACGAGGAGACCGGTGTCGATAGTGTGGGTTTCTGTGGGAGAAGAGGAGGCATGGACGGCGAGAAAATAGTGGAATTTCGGACGGGAGAAACGGGAAAGCCAGACGGAGGCGGAATAGAGCGATTCGAGTTCGAAAGTGGAGGCGAAGGAGTTGGGGGAATCGACGAGGGCGGAGAGACGGAGCGCGGAAAATTTGCCGGCGAGGTAGGGGAGGAGGGTGGGGGGTGTGCTGGCTGTTTCTGTGGGTGAGGAGGGAACTCGGTGGATGGAGTATTGGAAGGTCATTTTGGGGTGGTAGAGGAGTGGAAAGGGATATGAGGAGAGGATTTATAGTTATAGAAAAGCGATTTAGTTATTAGCTTTGATTATCTACCTACTCAACGAATTTGAAGTCTGTAAACCAACATCCCACCGTTGGATGACCATATAGCCCACCACTAGATACTCTAATAATGTCCTCATGCAGGTACCATAAGCACTAATCAGATTTAACCGGTATACTAGGGTCGTCGTAAGGGATGCGTGTTGAGGATATAATATTCTGATGAGAGGCAGAGACGTCGGTAATATTTAAATTGGATTTTGAATACGCATGTATATGGATTCTAGTAAAGGTCTAAGAATGTATTCAAATATTAACTTTCGGGTTGTCTCATGGGAATATCGTATACTTATACTAATGTTGACCTATTACGTTAAAGATGATATCGATAATTGATGAAGAACAATGATAATTATATACAAGTGAGTGTCTTTAAACCGTCTATGCTTATAATTCGTCTGGAGTCGAGAGTAATACTTGAGTCTAATGATTTCAATCAAATTTCATTATAAATTGAGTATAACTTTTTTTTTTGTAAAAACTCATCTCTATATCTTTTAAACAATACTTCATACTGAATAATAATAATAATAATAATAATAATATCTCTTATAAGACCATTAGTATATTGAAACTTCTTTCTGCTATAAAAGTCATCTTGAGTTTCGAGTCCCTATTTTTTCTCATTGGAAATTCTTTTCTTATTCTCCGCTTTCAACTCATCTTTTTTCTGCCTCTCTAACCATTTCACCATTCATTTTGATGCGTGACTAATAAACATGATCAAGATGCCGTCCATGCTCACTCCAGTCAACGTATAAGGAATATAACCCATCTATATATACAGCTCGAAGAACAGAATAGAGGGGTGTATTGACTAATCTACTACAGCGCTTCATTCTTTAACTTCGTAATGATCCCTCCACCCTCCCCGTCCATCTCTACCCCCCCTTAATACGTTCCCACAATCCCCTAAATAAACCCAAATTCAAAACTATTCATCCCCTCCACCCCAAGATTTATGTCCGGAAGATGCTGACCGGGCGTCGATAGCTGATTAGCTTCTGCCCTGATATGATTGTCGAACAGGTTCTATTCTCTCATCAGTAATTGATCATTTCACAAGCCCACATAAAACCACGATTTCAACAAATGCATGTGCTTGAGGTTCAATAGTCCAGGCTATACAGTCCGAAAATCAAAACTCTGGATATCTAAATTCAATTGAATCATTCAATTGGTTTGGAATATCGCATCCCATTTGAATCTTGTATTGATCTCAGATGTTGAGAGCTTCCAATTGCCGGACTACAGTTTGGACCATTGGAAAGCCTGATCCGAAAAGAAAATACATACCCAGTCAAAGTCAGTAGGGATATCCATCAAATAATCAAACGGTGCGGACTCATTGGGAAGATTTGTTTGGGGAAGAATGGATTGGGTGTTCTCTGAATTCATGTAGGAGGAATTTGGAGCGGGAGCGGGGGAAGTCATGGGCCATATAATCGCTCCTGGTGGAATTGTAGTGGCTTGGTTCATTGTGAATTCATCTATGGGCGGCGATCATTGTTAGTTATGAGGAGAATATCAGGGTCTCCCTTGAATTGAGGATATCATACCTTCCAAAGACAAACTAGCCATCGAGCCAGTATCATTTGTACCTAAATCCATACCCCAAGACATTTGTGACTTCCCAAGTGCCACATAAGCCGCATCAAGTTTTCTCATCATCACAGCCAGCACATCCACTGCCCGTTTAACCTCCGGATATTTCAGTTGCGTGATCTGCCATACATCCGATGACATCTTTAGCGCAGAAATCATTTCCACTTTTTGTTTCTGAAAAGAGGTGTTCTGATGTTTGCCTTTGATTTCTTCTTCCAATATCTTCATCGTCCTCACGTACACGATCATTGCCGCGAGTAGGAAATCATGCATCGTTAATGAAGACGGGAAACATCTATCTCGGGCCAAGACCTGTCCTGGCTGTGTAGCTTCGTATGTCTGTTTTTGGAAATCGAGAAGTTGCATTGCGGCATCGATACCGACCTTAACAGAATATTCTCGCTCAGGATGATCTTGATTGTCTACAAGATACTTACGGTGTAGAACACATCGACTTTTGCATAGAAGATGAGCGACATTCAATCTCTGGATAATCAACTTTGCTGGGTCAGCGATACAACTTTCTATCGGTTGAAATCGGAACGATGGCGGTACAGTTGCTTGTACCACGTCCAACTGAGCATCTAATTCCATGATCTCATCGTAAGAAGGCGGGGATAATGAGTTCGCATGTACTGCAATTTTCCCAAAAACCTGACATATTTTGTTCTTGAACCGAACGTATGACGCTGATGTTACTTCTGAGTCAGGTCGAGAAGGTGGTAGCTCTGTACAATCTTCATCGAAATCCGAGTCATTTAAATTCCGGGGCAATTGAACATCGCTCTCAACGGATTCAACCATACTAGGTAACCCAATATGAAAGGATGCCAGTAAATCTATTTGTCTTAAAGTGGCCCAAAGTCGCCTACGCATTTCCCCTTGGAACGGAGTAATTTGTCCACCAACTCTATCGGCGTCTCGATGGAGTCCCATTCGTAAGGCTAATCGGACAGCAACACCAAGAAGCACATAGCAGTTCACCTGATCAGCATCGCCGAGAACAAATTCTCCTTCCAAGTGAGCAAGCATTGCTTCGATTGTATACTTTCCTGGTTTTGTGTAATCCGAAAGGCGGATGCAATGGATACAGTTGCGTCGATATGTTCGTATCGTTTGCATTTGAGAAGCACGCTCATCCGGATTTTCTTCACCTGCCGCATAACTGGAGAATAAAGATAGACACATAATGCCATATAATAAGCCCAGCCAGCAAATAGGAGTCTCATGTGGATTGGCCCAAAATTTCAAATACTAATCGATTTAATGAGTATGAGCAAATGCGGACGTCAATTCCCAGCAGATAGAGAGTAATGTATACAGTATGAAATGATAATAAAAGAAATAAAAGACTTTCCCAGCACGCTAGCTGTAGAACGGTCTTTTATAAATCTAGTATTTCGAACGATGCAAAAGTGGAAGAAGAAATTACGTTACCTCTTTTTGAAAAGTCGGAGCATGCAAAATATCTTGTGAAATATCTTAGCATTGTCTCACAACTCATGAGATTACTGAAGACCTACGTAGCGAAGGGTTGGCTCCATGAAAATAACCCTGAACAGTCTTATCAACGACTCTACGGGAAGGTAGAGCTGCCAATAGTTTGGCTTTGGTTGGTGGTGCATCTGGGTTGAAAAGTAGACTGGGTTCAGCCCCAGTCTCTTCTTCAATATCATCGTCTTCTCCTTGATCAAAATATTCTTTAACTTCTCCTATTTGATGAATATCAGTACAAGTAACTTCACGCAATGGAAAATTCTCACGTCATCAAGAATTGCAGCCCAGTGAGTAGCGCCAACATATTGCGTTTCCTTCCCGCCAAGTACAACCTGCCCTGAAGGCGGGTAATGTCTGTTGAATATTGGAGGGCTTATCCAAGCCAGAAAGAGAACTATCAGTCGTATTTAATCTCTGATCTTCCGTTGAGATCCCACGAGCCTCCGCTCTGGCAACAAGGTTTCCGGGCTCCGGGCCATCACGTGGAGGAGTATTTGGCTCAGCTAATTGTTGAGAATTCATAACGTCCTTAACCAAGCTTTCCAGATGCTTCAACCTTTTGTGCATTGTCATCGCAGCTTTCTTTCTTGGTAAGGGCGTGGGATATAAACATGATCCTACCCTATCCTTCTTTTGACATTGGCTGCATGGTTGAGCTCGATCGCATTTAAGTTTGGCATGTCGACATGGTGTACAACTCAATTGAACACGATTTCTCTTAGAATGAGCAGGAGCAGATTCTTGTGAGGTAGATGTTGATGGTGTATCCATTCTGATTGATGTTCACATTGATTGGCGCTGATGGTAAAGGCAGCAACAACTGACCGTCTCGCAACAAACCAGAGTACGGAAACTAAAGCAGTTATTGGTCTTTGAAAAAAAATAAGGGATAGTAAACAACATCAAGCACTTCGTTTGAAAATCGTTGAGTGTGCGATACACTGTTCTTGGTGTTCGTGAGAGTCGTAAGAGCAAGGAGCCTGTTGAGGTTGCCCTTCGCCTGTGCATTTCAGCCAATGAGCTTCACTCCACAGACCCCACTCATCATACACACAGGCCGTGTTTGATCACCTCTTAGCATTAACAATAATTCGATTATCACCCTCGATTCTGATGTGAAATATACACTTTTTGATAGATCAAAGATGGTGAAAGCTAGCAATGGTTAAAGTCTCTTGGGATTTATTTGTTTCATTAGTGGTTGATTTATAGTGCAATTAATTGAGAGGTTTTTAATAGGAACTAGTTGGCCAAGAAGGAGAGCCGATTATTAGTATTGACAATCAGGTAGGAAAAATAGCAATCTTTGTGATGTTGCCGGGCAAGATCATAATTTGGTAAAAACTTGCATTCTATTTTCTATGTTGACCCAGTGATTTGTATTGACTGTAGCGGATCTATTTTCTGGTATATTCATAAACATATCATTTCCCTATCTATTCAATCCATGTCAAAATATCACCAACGCCAATTTATCTAAGCTACAAGAGGAATGGGTAGTGGTTAACAACCAATCCTTCCTATCCTTACGTTAAACTAGATTACATAACCATCTATATCAAGCCATCTCAATTCATATTCCAAAATCTTCATCATACCCCAGCCATCCCAAAGAGGGTACTTCCATAAATCTTAATCTCCACCCACCGTATCCCAACTAAAATGACCTAATTGGAGTCGGCAGCATCATCGTTGTCTACATCACTATCTTCTGCGTCTATCTCTTCATCTAGCTTTCCATCTAATGTCGCTACACTCTTGTTATCGTTACCCTTTTTCAACATCATCAAAGCATGCTCGTCACTTTCTGTCACACTGTTCTTTCTGTTGCTTTCTCTTCTCTGCTTTCTACTGACTAGACCTGGGAAAATTCTTGGTTCACTGCCTGAAAGATGTAGATCACTAAAGCCTGCTTCTAGTCCCCAAGACTTTTCACGTCCCTTGTTGGCTGAGATTGGCGAGTTGAACGACGAGTTCGGTTGCGTGTGTTGATTTGGAGTAGCATAACCAGATGGACTATCGGTACCTTTCTGATGAGTTTTGAAATGAGAATCTAGGTGTAGCTGAGAGTGGGAAGGGGGGATACGAGCAGCCTGAGCAGGATTTTGCTGGTATGATTGAGAAGGGCCATGATCGGCCACGCTAACAGAAGCTTTCATAGATGATGTTGGGGAATGTGGTCGCGGTCCTGGAAAGAAGGAATTTCCATCTACTGGGGCTGATGTCTGAACGGCTGGAGTTGACAGAGCAGTGTAACGCTCAATCCTATTTTTTGTTATTAGTATTGCGTTTATTTTGAAAAGATGGCAAGGAAGCAATATCATGACTTACATAGATAGTTCCTGCATCAATGTCTCGTGTCGGAAGCCTTCCCTAATATTTGGGACGTTGCTCTTTGCCATAGTATTACCCTTTACTCCGGGTAGATCATAGTCTGGACCTAACCATCTCTGCTTCACAGAATGTTCAAAGCCGCTTTGTACGACTGAATTCTTGGCCAGTTCACACATATCCACTGCGCTAAGCTTGTAAATCTGTGCAGCGACCGAGTATTCCTCGATAAGTGGCTCCTTTGTAAAAGCGAATTGCAGAGGATCATCGGTAGATAGAGAGACATTAAGACCTCTCTTAAAATAGGAAAGGAAAGGGTTTCTTTCGTATGCTAGGAACAGTGCGTTGTTACTCAAAGGCGACATTGCTACTCCAATCTGCTCGAGATAGAAGATGTATTGTAGCAAAGGTACTTTTCGAAGCAATAAACCATGACTAATACTGTGACAGCAAAGAACTGCAGCAGCTAAATGATCAGTATCACCAGCTTCTCCACAATGAGGTCGTAGCAAGAATGTGTTGAAACCACGCTGCTTGCGCCACACATTCAAAGAAGAGATGTTGGCGAAGAGGTAATAGATCCAATAACTGTAAGGAGGATTTTGCTTAGAATCCCATACTTTTGGTACTGGGAACTTTTTGAATAATCTTCGCTCAGCTTTACTCTCATCATCTACACTATCAAATCCGATGACTCGCTGAAGGAAGATGTGAAGCTTTGGGTGGCTAGATGGATCTTTGGTTACTTCAAAGAGAGGCTGAAACAAGTTGATGATAACTTGTTCGAAGTTCTCCATCAATCCACTAGATTTGTAGACGTCGAACAATCGTGGGACCTGGATCAACCACCGAACGTTGTGTGAGAATAATTTGTTGTCAACAACCCATGCTGCTAGCTTATCCCATTCGTCGATAGTTCTTCCATAGATTGAAATTCGCCATTCAACCATTTGATACTTGCTTGATTCGAGATCTGATATGACTTCTTTAGTGATTTCCGCCAGATATCTTCCGTTTATGAAATTATCTGTCTTTAAGAAAATCGTTCTTAAGCGAGATTCCCCAACAGGATTATACTTCAGATTGAACTTGTCGAATCGATGGAAAGAATCGGTGTGTGAGCCTGAAAAGTAGTTAGAAAAGTGTAACGAAACCCAAGAAACCGTCAACCTACGTGCATATCAAGAGTATCAATACTCAAATCATAAGAAGTCAAGTTGATACTTTGAAAAACCTCAGCTAACGTGAGATGTTTACCATCTCTGAACATGACGATTTCATCAGGATTCTTCTTCATCTTACTCTTAATGAATCTAAGCAGATGCTTCTGGTTCATACAGGCAGAGTGATGAACGTGAGTATCAACCTTTCTAACATTGTAGAAATCTCTGTGCGGTACACGTTTACTGTCCGCCATTTCTTGATATTCATTGAGAAGAACATAAAGATTGAATTTGCCCTCCAAAAACTGCAAACGACGATAGGCAAAACTTTTACTTGGGCCATCAGATGAGACATTGAGAATTTGTTCCAAGTCCATGTAGAATTCTCTGATATCAGGTATGTTGATTACGGGTTGTTCAAGCTCTTGAAGTTTTGAGTTTTCGTAAACCTGAAACACTCCGCTTCCATCAAGTCTGAAGGTCATTTCTCCAGGTGGAGGAAGTGGAAGAAGATCTTCCATTTCGAAATCAGAACCAATGTCTTGCCCAGGTTTTCTCTTGCGGAGGGGAGTTTTGGGGCCACTGCGTGCACTAGTAGCCTGGGCTTGTGACAATTCTGATGCTGCACCACTGATCGTTTGCTGATGACCATGAGCTTCAGCTTGAGGTGGCAATACCATGCTGTTCGCCATACTGTTTGCTGTGCTGTTTCTTGCATTTGTTGCGGCTTTATCGTCGTGCCAGGATGGCTCGGGCGGCGGTGGGTAGATACTCCAGTTCGGGTCATCTTTAGGATTATCACCATCTTCTTGTAAAGACAGGCGAATGTATTTGTGTCTAATATCTATCACTTTTTGAATATTAGTGTAGATGGATGCGAGTTCCGCAGTTATGTGGGCGTCAGAATTGGCAAAGCCACCTGCACCAGAACCAAGGCCGACCCCGGCGCCTGCACCATGCAATCCTTCCATTTCTAGCAAAGGTTTAGGTTCATGAGGAAGTCCTGGATGAGCTGCATGATCTCTAGCTTCCTTGTCTGCTCTAAGAAGGGATTCTCGTCTATCGTGTAATCCAGGAGTATGAACAAAAGTTCCCGCAGCAAGACTCGGTTCTTGAATTACAGCACTTTCTGGATGCTTTCCAAGATCTGCCAGACCAATAGGAGGGGCAGTTCTGAGTTTATTGAGATTTGGGAGGTTTTGTGTGCTCGTTCCTGAAGCTTGACTTCCAGATCTATTCAATCCTCCTTGTTCAGAGTCTAAAATGTTAGAGAAAGATCTAGGTTTCAACACAGGACTAGGAACTGCAGACTTCTGGGAATGACCCCAATTGCTGCCGCTACCAGTTTTGTTGCCTTCCAACTGGCTGCGTTGAAAGAATAATTTCGCGTCTGTCTGGCTCATCTCTTTCTCTGCAAGATAGTCGAAGTATGCCGTTTTCTTTTGCTTGTCTCGAGCTAACATTCCACTTTGAGACATGGGAGTTTCGAGGCCGGGCGTATCATCAGATAGGAGAGCTGCCTCTGGAAGCATGTCTTCTGGTTCCTCCACTAGATCTTCACTGGCCCCGATATACCCCTCCTCCGCGATATCATTATCTATGTCGGACATGTTGGAAAATGCTAATTTAGAGGGAACCCTGGGGGAAGAAGGTAATTTTGAAGGGTTCTGTTCTGACGATGAATCTGAATAAAATATGTTAGCCCCTCATATTTTGTGTACCCTGCAACGCGGGGTTGAGGTGAAGCTATGTGACACCAAGTCTTAGGTCCTTACCAGGCATGTTTGCTATTTATCCTCTATAGCACAGAGAAGCTTGTTATGTCTTATAGTCTAGCCAGTATCCCGAATAATCTGACCAAAGATGGTTTGTTCCAACGAGAAGAGAAATGGCAAATGGAAAGAATGAAGCAAATCTTCAAGGTTGATGGTAAAAGTGGTTGTTTAACCTTGAATCTTATGTTCCTGGGGCTAAAAAAGCACTCTGGGCGGCTTGTCTCAAAAGGCCTGTTGCTGTTGATAAGTCTACTCTGGAGTGTACGAATAATTGATATGAATTTGTAACTTTCGACAAATCAAGGACCAGCAACGACAAATCAAAGACCAGCAAAGACCAGCAAAGACCAGCAAAGCTTTCTTGGCCTCTCACTACAATCTACAATCTTAGCGCCTTTCTCTCCATCTCCATCGCGCGAAGTCAAACGCGCTTTTCCCCCCCCAATATCGATTCTTTGCATGTACAGTGGTGACAACAAATACTATCTAGTAGCTACCAAGTAGGTACTAACTTTGAAGGACCGTGCCATCCATCCCCCTGGTTTACTTTCCTGTCGTGATTGAATCTTGTCAACTTTCACAACTTCAACACTTCTTCCCTTTAACCAACAATAACAATAACTAGCTTTTTTCACCAAACCTCTCATAAAGATGTCTGCACAAACTGGTTCTGCGGCCACCATCGGCGACAAAGGCAAAGGCAAGAGTGCTGCTGAGCCCCAAGATGTAACCATGGGTGAGGGCGGCGATGATAGCTCTAGTGAGGAGGAAGTTGATGATGTAAGTTATACTTGAGAGTACTGAATTTGATCTCCTACTGACCATACTCTCTTAGGATGCTCCACCACTAGGTAAATTCACAAGGACTTAGCAGTACTACTTCTCGAACATTAATTGACAACATACATAGCTGAAGAGGTCGAGGAGGAACCTTCAGACAACGAAATCGATAAATCCAACATCATCCAAGGTCGTCGCACTCGTGGCAAGCAAATCGACTTCGCTGCAGCTGCCAAGGATCTTCCAGCCGACGATGATGAGGATGAGGACGATGACTTTCAATCTGAGGGCGAGGAAGATGATGAGATGGGAGGAAACTAAGGGAGAATGACGATGGTATTCTGGTAGATTGGAGGAATTCGATTCATTTGACAATTACTCATTTTCGCCCGGATATCAACACCTTTTACATTATCGCATTCACGCTCGCAGTTAACGATACCACATCTTTCCGTTTATTCACAAAATTTCACGATTCTAGGCATATGATTTGAACGATTGATATGGAACATCTGGGGAATTGGGGGTGGGGGGAAGATGTTTTTCGGCACAAGCATGTGTACTTCTAGATACCAAACAAAAGGGGCGTCCATTGCACATTGCACATTGCACATCGCATCCAGTTCAAATCTCCAAACAAACGCAATTTCCCCAAGTGCAAAAAGTAAACAAAACAAGCAAAACAAAACAAACAAAACAAACCCATTGACAATCAGCCCTGCAAACCTTCCTCGTAATTTTTTCTGCACAGACTGGAAATCCCATCATGATAAACCAGATAAAGAAAACCCACAGGATCCCATATTAAAGAACCAGGATCATGCCCAATTTTCTCAAACTCCAAACCGTTACCGCATTCTCCCTCAAACGACCAAGATAGCTATTCCATCACACCAGATTCTAGACCTCTTTTCTCTCTTTCGTTTGTGCTGTGTTTCGAAACACCATTATTTGAGGCGTGACGGGATATCAAACACCAATACCCGTTTGACAAGCGAACACATATCCATCTTGCGAGGGCAGGACGAGTGATAAAGACGAAGACGACTAGATTTCCTTCTTATCTTGTTGCGAAGAGGGTTTTGTTGATTTCTTTTCGCATACAAACGGATTTTATACATAATTTATTTGAGAATATCATGGCGAATAGGTGTGTATGATTTCTTTTTTTTCTTCTTGCTATATAGTGTGAGACTTTGCGCATCCATTCATTCGATCTATTTATTCGATTGGGTAGATAGGTATCATTCGCAAGATGGAAACGGGGATTCAGTATTCCTGATGCGACAGTACATTCTCGGCGCATACCCAAAATTCAGAAGCATCTATACTTATACTCCTCGATTTCTTAATAATACTCTCTATAAGTATAAATAATACGTATTAACATTCCCTGCGAAATCTCCACAGATTCGGCGCATCGTCTCTCCATCAACGCGATCCGCGCAGTGCGCTTTTTGAAAATTATAACGCGGGCGCAAGTTCAAGGAATGCGAGTTCGAGTCCTGCCCCAAGAGGGCTACGGGTATAATGCGGGAGGAGGCTGTAGGAGGATATTCCGGGGGAGGGGGTTATTCGGGAGGAGGAGGGTATGGGGAGAGAGAGGATAGCGCGCAGGGGTTTAGGAGCGCGACGCCGAATCGTAGGTATGTACTTGATGATTGGTTTGGGACTTTGTGTTGTGTTGTGTTAGATTGGTTTTGGGGGAGAGGGGAAGGGAATGGGACAGAACAGCGAAGAGGGTAGATTGGAGGAATAGCAATGCATAGTATGGATGGGATATGATGAACGCAAGTGCATACATACATACATCACCCCCTCGGAGAAACCCTACACCTCTCCCTATCTTTCCCTCCACAAAACAAACTAAAACTAAACCCGTCCCCCTACCCGAGTCCAATACAGTCGACTCCGTCCTCAACGAACTCGAAAGCCAAACAACGACCAAGTCGAAGGCATTATGGGCAAAGTGCGCCAACTAAAATCCCGTACATCCCCCTCCCTCTCTCTCATCCCCAGTTCATCCCCAGTTCATCCCCACTAAACCCCTTCCCCCTCCAGATGACCATCGCCATCGGCGACGAGATCCGCGAATCCTCCGCTCTCGCGGAAAAAATGAATGATAATTTCGAAGGCGCGCGCGTGCGCATCAGAGGAACCATGAATCGCATGTTGATTATGAGTCAGAAGACGGGGGTTAGTTGGAAAGTGTGGATCTTGTTTTTCGCAGCGGTTTTTGGATTGTTTTTTTGGGTGTGGGCTTTTTAGCGGGGGAGGAGGGGGAGGGGGAGGGGGATTGGAAAGGAAAGGGGGAGGAGAGGAAAGAAGAGGAGAGAAAAGAAGAGGAGAGAATTGTATAAATACAAACTACAACATAATACTTTTACCGCAGTGCAGAACGGGAAGAGAGAGAAAGGAGAGGAGAGTAAAACGAGCAGATTCGGGAAGGGAGAAAGGAAGAAACTACCGATACACATACAGCAGTATAATAATGGATGAAATGCATGGAATGGAATAACACGACACGACGGCGTTATGGAGAGAAAATCGGGTTGTTTGTATCATATGATGAAATAAATAGCAAATCTCATAATCACTTGACATGATATGATATGACGATACATGAATGAATGATATGGTTCTTTCGTGATAGGTGATGGATAGTTTGTCGGGGTTATGTTTGTGTGTATATGTATGTAAATCTCTAAATTTCCATTTTTGGGGAGAAAAGAAGACGGGGTAGGGGGGGGGGGCTGGTTATATATCTCTAGGTATCTACTAGGTAGTTAGTATCTATCTATCATAGATTTATAGATTTATATATATACATATATACATACATCCATCTACAAATCATGAGATAAACATGCATCTATGAAATCACATTGAGAATCCAAGAATCCGAGAATTTCATAATGTCATTCATTCATTCATCAACTAACTGACTAACTAACTAACTAAGTATCATAGCATAACGGAGGACCTATCAGATCATACCACCATACCACCTATGACGAAATACATGCCACCCATCCCCATCCCCATCCCCATCCCCATCCCCATGCTTCATCCCAACCATTCCTAGACCTCTAAAAACCCCTAGAAAATAAAAAATAAAAACCCTTGGTATATTGTCCTACTCCACCGAACCCCATCCCGCCCAATTGATGCTTTTAAAGCACAGTAGAAAAGTTCCTCCCCTCCCATTAACACCATTGAAATTCCCAACGTATAATACAACTTCTCCCCGCATTCCCAACCTTCCCCTCCCCCTCCCCCCATGTTTCCCTCCCCTCATTCCCTCCCCACAAAAATAACCACATTAATCGCCGCCGCATACGCCTCCCTAACCGCACAACTCAAGCACGTCTTCCCCACCACCGCCACAACGGCATTCAATCCCCAATGACTACACCACGCTCTCGCCATACACTCATTATCCTCCACGCCCCAGGCCTCGATCACCAATACCGTATCCTTATCCACCCCCTCCATAAGTTCCTTGAAGCTCCACTTTGCGCCCTTCCAGTCATAACCTTCTTCCCAACTTCCCTCAACTCCAAGTTCCTCTGGTTCCGGCGCCCATCCTAACTGTAGATCTTCATTTAAATTATCACCGCCAACACCTGCCCAATTATGTATATCAAGCAATTGATTCATGCGTGCAATTTTATACATATAATCGAAGAAAAGAGGATGAGGACCATTAGAACAAGGATATGAGGTGATGAATGAAACATCATGAGCTAATCTCAACCAGTGCGATTGGCCTCTCCTGGCGAAAACCACACAGGCATCATAAGTAGGCGGTCTCTTTCCGATTTCACTACTTCTCTTTGGGGACCCGCCATCGAGCTGCTGATTTGGTTTTGCAACTTCGAATGCTAATTTTTCAATGCGAATGTTGTCTATAGGCGGTGAGACTAAGTCTAGCTCGGGTAGCACAAATTCACTGACGGGATAGACTGGATCGCCAGGGTCAGGGGGACCAAGAGGATCAGATCGAACTCGCATGCTCAGGACGTCGGTCTTGGTAATAACTTGAGGGGTCATACGCTGACGGATCCGCAACACCTGAGTACGTTCGATCGCCGTCGAAGCAAGAGCTGGGCCAACCCAACCTGCAATTTCTTGACAAGTTGGAGCAAGCACTTTACCAACGATAGAAGTTGATGCCCAGTACGTACTACCTCTGTATTGAAAGCCGGAGTTTGGATACATGTGCGTAAGACCTCCAAGATCAACACCTCCATCTTCGTCGCAGTCGATTAAAGTATTCATAAGAAGCCATGGTTGCGTGGGTCCTGGTAAGATTAGGCCGGTACAAAATGACATAGCATCTGCAGAACGATCTTCAAGAGGTGAAGCATCCGGATCCAACTCTTTTAGAGCTTCATCTACCATAGTTAAATTAGGCCACTTCATAGCTCTTGCGAATTTGCGCAAAGCTTTAACTTGCGATCTCTTTTTCAAAAGTCTGAATTTAACTGTTTTGAAATCAGCCTCCTGCCGTACAGAATCCAGAAATGTATGAAAACCTACTCTGTTGAAATTCATCACCAGTTTTATACTTTTCAATAGTCATGCATTCTCTCCACTTCTTCGCAACAGCTAGGTCCCAAGAGATCCATGGTGGTAGTTGCGCCAACAATCTCTCTTTTGCTTCCTCCGAATGATGTTTTGACTGGATTCTCAATTCCAACTCCATGCTCAATAGTAACTGATGAAAAAATGCTCGATATCTTCCATGATCAGAATATGCCCCATCAGCAAAGAATTTAGCCACAACATGATTCTTAGGTTGACTAAAATCAATCCATTCACGTCGTGACAACGCAATGATCAGATCCGCAATTTGTTTCTCCATCCCCTTTTTCGCAATGAAGGATTTGTCGAGATCCTTGAGTAATACTTTGTATAAACTCTTATATAGCATATCCTCAGTCTCATCATCAATCCCAGCTTCCAAGTATATCAAGCGATCCAATATTATTTGCAAATCCACATCCCTCAGCGTTTGGACACCTGAATCACGAAGCTCAATCGGGGCATGCGGATTGCCATTTACGCTGCACCAGTGATTCAACGTAATGGTACCTCTCAACGTGCCATAATAAAAGGCCATACTAGGCTGTTCAAGAGAGTCCCATGGTCGATTTGCTTCACCAGGTCCTTGTAACCGCATTGAATCCGCCATAAATGCCCTACTGAAAATCTCCGCACGATCGCTTCCAGCCCCTCCATTCCCATTACAAGTCGCATATAGCGCAAAATATTCATCGGAAGCATGTGCGATTGATTCCATCGTTCCTTTGAAAACGGGTACTCCATTAGCAATCAATTGCATCGCTTTTCCTTGTGACAATTCGGCGTCGTTTGATAACCCAACAGGTGGCCATTCCATCAATGAATTAACCTTAGGCGCTCTTACACCCTCCTCCGTATATTTTGATGATTTGCCTGTACTAGGTCTTGCGTGATGAGGCGAAAGAGAGGTAGAATTGCTTAGTTTATTCGAATGATGTCTCTTCGGAGAGGTAGAATGAGCATCGTCATCTGCGCGGCGTCGATAATCTGTATGTGGTGAGCGAGAAGTCGAGGCACTCAAATTGACCGAATGATGTCTGCGAGGATTTTCATCATCTTCGCGATCTCTATTATCTCGATGTCGATGTTTTCGGGAAGAAATCGAACCATATCCATCACCCTCATCCTCTCCATCCCTTGAGTGTTTCTCTCGATTCCTCCTACTTCTCCGATGTTTTCTGCGCTCTCTCCTCGGTCTCTGTTCAAACTCCTCTTCGATTTCTGGCTCCAAGTCTGCTTCCTCCTCACTCTTCTTCTTGCCCTTTAGCAACCGACTATCTTATCTTAACACAACCATTGTCGACCAATCTCTCACCTTGTGCCCTCGTCGATATTATCAAACCTCCAATTTCCAATTCAATTTCCAATCTCTCTGATTCCCTCTCATTTATTTGTATTCGAATTCTTTTTTTCGTAATCAGTAATTGAATACTGTAAATCTCTCATTCACAAATTCACAAGCTCACTCCAATCCAGGTATCGTGTAACAAATTCCTTAAAGGTAACAAGGCTGAATTACAGATGAACGAGTAATAATAAAAAGTCAAGTATGATGAAATGTTTTGGGTCTTCATACAGACAACCATACAAACCGATGCAGCAGTTCCTCGAGGCCACACCTCATCATATTGATCTCTGGGGAAACCATATGTTCGAGGTGGTTAACATTGTCCAGACAAACGTTGGACAAATTAAGTTGCAAAAAAGAGATGACCGAGTCTCTGATATCCACTGTAGCCTTGTTATTACATCCCTATCATCCCTATCTCTTCGGTTATCACCCGGCTATTTCACGGTAAAGCATGTATTCATGCTAAATGAGTTGAATGTATTATGTAGTCATAGGAATCACCGAGTAGATACCTTCTTCATGGCTCCCCTTACGGAGTACATTTCAGTCGTGTCAACTTATGATGCCAAGTTATAAATTGGGGTATTACTACATCTTTAAAAATATCTACTGAGCAAACAACTTGGTATACATATGCACCTGCAGCGCTAGAAGCTCAAGCTCGCTCGGAATATACAGCCAAAGAATCCACTACCCCTCAATCATACATTTACAAATCAATCTTGAATTCCTCCACAGTTTGATTAGCCAATACCATGTTGGTTGAATCAAGTCCATTTTCTCGGTACTTTGCCATTGCTTGTTTTGTACTACACACATATTAGTTAGCTATCACTTTCCATTTAATGTTACGGAAGCTTACCTTGAAGAAGAAATTGAGCAATAAGGACACCATAAGGGCAGCGCTGACAATCATTGGTCCAATCAAATTATCAAAATCTTTTCCGCTTCTGTCAACAATCATCTGTCGCCGCGTGTAATGCATCCAGTAGCCCCAACTTCCAGCAAAGATGGCAATGATAATATATGCAATACCCATAGCTTCTGCAATTTCATCCTCTCCTGCAGCTGTGTATAAACTAACAGCAAGGGACCCCAATAATATGCATATGTGTTGCCATTTTAAAAATGTACGTTCATTGGCCAGCCAAACTTTAGGTTCGACTTGTAAAGGACCTGAATCCTTAATGTATTGAGTTGGTTTAGTAACACCGGGAGGCAATTGAAAACTTTTCGATCGGCGTGATTGGGCATAACGCGAGAGGGAGAAAGATGGAAATACAGATGCCAAGGTGCCATATCCACCTTGATTACTTGAGGCTCCGGTTTCGTCTTCGTCATTTCCAGCATCTCCAGAGGCAGAAGGGCCATCCAGATTGGATCTTCTACCAGCTCTCTCCTCAGCAAGCATTCTCTCCTCCATATATGACTTGCCTACTGGCGAGCTCACGGCAGGTTCGAAACTTGCGCTTGCTTTTTGAGAAGTTCCAATGAAGCTACCGATTACGAGATCGTTCTCGGCCTGCTTTGCTTTTCGAGATTGATCTTCCTCCCATGCCGCTTGTGGATCTTTGCGAATATCATCCGTCAAGTTTCCGTGCCATGAAGGATAGTCGTTGACATTATCCTCGAAGAGAGATACAGCACCCTGAAGGAATTTAGAGAAGCCTGGCGCTGCGTACACAAGATGCGAGCCCATCAAATCCTGTACCCATTGAGGCTGCTTCTTGGTTGCATCATCCTTCACCTTGATTTCCAACACCGAATATGGGAATCTCGATATTTCTCCTGGGTTGATGTTGCTGAATGGATATGACATGGCACTACTATCAATGTCGCGTCGGTGCCAGCTCTTAGGATCTCTGCAAGGTCTGTCCTCGTCTATACAATCTTCCCGGATGAACGCCAATTGAGTATCAATAGATATCCTGACTCTGTCGTCCAATGGCTTTTGAAAGGCAGTGCGAGTGTAATTAGCTCGCAAGATTGGTTGCAAACCATTCTCCTTGATCAATGATTGAATATCGTTTACAGTCTTTTTAAAGGCCTCGATTCTTGTTTCTGGCAGCCCTTGTCGTTCCATCTTTTGTATGCTCTTCTCCATTTTGTATTCACCTTTGATAAAGGAGTCGATATACTTTTCCTTTATCAAAAGCTTCTTTTCTTCGCTGGTGCCATTTTCATGTACAATCTTTTGTTCAAAGTGAAGCTCTGGATTGTCCTTCAATTGACCATACCATCTGATCCTTAGTGATGTAGCATTCTCCTTCTTTTCCCTCTTTTGGTCGTAGAGCGTGAAATCCGGACTGTCAAGATAGAGAGAATTGAGAGTCGGGTCGGCTTGAGGTTCGGGGCTCTTCGAGGATGGTTCGCTATATACTACAGCAGGAAGTCGACGAAGGATATAGGTCTTGACTTCCAGACGATTATCAGGGTGAACCCAAACTATAAGAAGGTTTATTAGTATACGGATTCGTGTGATGATCTAACCTACTTACATTTGTACGCAGTGTACTTCTCCGGTGTTTGTGATTGCGACTGAACATCGGAGGACGAAGTTACTGCGGGATCCGTATTATCATCCAGTTGTTGGCGAACAACAAAGTACATCATCGACAATTGGTTGAGCAATGCTGAATAGCCCTTTTCCGAGTTAAAAGGCCTCTTCTGCAAACTCATCTGTACCATCGGCCTAATCTTGTAGTTGTTACCCCTCTTGCGATCATGTTTCTTGACAATCTTCAAGAAGGCGGTATAATTAATGCTGCTGTATTTCTTCAATTCCTTTGTATCATTGATGATCGCATCGAGCTCCTCCTCGATCTTCTTGAACTTGGCGGTAAAAACATCGTCTTTTGATTTCCCATCTTCTGGTGCGAGCTCTTTGAGTTTCTCTCCAGTCGCATTAGCACGCTGTTCCAGTTTTTTGAATGTAGATTCTTGAAAGGATGCGATCTTTTCCAATTGGACGTTCAGGATCTCGTCGCAGAATTTAGTCTCGTCATCTGCAGTCCATGGCCTGTCATCACCCTCAGATGCTGAATCTTCTCGTAAGAGGTGTTTGAGCTTCGCATAATCGATATATTGGTCTTTCCATGGCGGATATATTGATTTCTTCAATGTCTGGCCAAAACGCATAGTGACGGTGAATTGAATTTATCGTATTTTGTGTTGTTGGTTGAATGAAAAGTAAGAGTGGAATTGGAAGTTGAAAAGATTTATTTGTGCTGAAGCTTGTGAAAGCTGTAAGGAGGTTGGAGCTTAATGAAACCTTATTCGGTGACGATATCAAATGTTAATCAATGCTAAAAACATTCAGAAAATGACGATAACATGAAATTCAGATGAATTGATATATCAGTCAAGATAAAACCTGTCACTCATGAAAAAACAAAGATTAAATTGAATCACAGCATTAGATAGAGTACAAATAAGAAAAATGTTGGAAGTCTCATCAATAACCTTTTTTCGAGTTTCTCTACCAGGTACCTAGGTAGTTGTGTAAATTGTGAATCTAGCTCTACATGGATGAAATGAAATTTATATCAAATAGATTCTTAAACATTCAAATGTCAAAGCCGCACTGGGACATTCAAAGAATCTAACTATCCAACCCATATCAGAACATTCCAAGCATTCCAAGCATTCCAAGCATTCAAACATCAATTCCAAACCACATCACCAAAAGACTCTAAATCTCCCATTCAAATTCCAACATTCAAAGTATTCACATCTCGAATCTTGCCCAGGAAATCCAAATTAGCACATGTCCAAATAATAGGTACCTACCTACCTACCTACCTACCTACCTACCCACCCAGTAAATGCCATACAACAACCCACCCACCCACGTGCATCCAACGACTGATTTGATTGCACCGGCTCGTCTTCCACTTTCACTACAATCCATGTAGTTATAGTGGACATCCATACCGAGAGAGTACTTTCTTTGTACATACAGGCATAATGCATTGTATAATCGGAACTGGGATATCGATGGATTTATCCACTGGTTGTCTTCCGGTTGGTCGGTTAATAAATAGGTATGAAAACGAAATAAATTTTGACTCTACCAATAACAATGTAAGATCTTGCCCATTGATCAGATGCTACGATGGGATACCTACAGAGTGATAACATGAGATAGGTTTCAAATGGCTAATCTAAGCCTCACACTAAAATGTATTTACAAATATATTGGAATATCTATGTGTACATGTCTACTCAAAATGCTATGTCGCCAATCATAATGCGATATCGATTTGTATTTTTCATAAACTTTGAATTTCTCTCTTTGCTGACTCTTCTCGCTCACTCGCAAATACATCATTTGGGTACAAATAATAGTAAATGAAAGGCAATTCAAACCATTTCAACTCCCTCCCTCGCACGCGTCAATCGTCATCATCAACTGTCCAAAAAAGTATTCGCACTCGCTGGTATCGTAAAAAGCATAACCACCATGAAGCCATATTGCACAATTGATGAACCCCCGCCTGTCTCTCCTTTTTCCTTCCATGAACAATGCATATAAAGTAATGCGACCATTGTTTTTGAATCCCGATTCATGTCGTTATTCATTTGGTGCTCCCAGTAATGCCAGAAATATGCTTTTGATATCTTCATTCTAGAAAATGTAAATATTCATACCGCTACATTGCAGGCGTCGCTGGAAATATGTTGAATGTGAGTAATTTGTATGTGGGTGTGTCGTGCTTTATGTTGCAGCTGCGGCGACTTGGATAGGAGCGCGCTCAGCACGTCCTAAGATCTCGCGATGAGGTCCACGGGCTAGGATTTCGGATGCATTGCTCTTAACAATTCCACCAGTGACAGGCAAAGAGGTAGATCCCTCCAAGAAGCGATCACACTCTCTAGCACACTGTCTACCTTCGTTGATACCCCTAAATTCTGTTAGAAACAAATATCAAGATAAAATTTCAATCTGTGATTTATGACTTACCAAACATGAGAGATTGTCCACGACGACAATCTCCTGCAGCGAAGATACCCTCAACATTGGTAGAGTACTTGCCAGGAGCAGTCTTAACATTCTTGCGGCCATCCTTTTCAATGTCATCGCCGAGAACACGATCCTCGGGACCGAGGAAACCCATAGATAAAAGGACAAGATCGGCTGGGAAGAATTGTTGGGATCCTTCGATCTTCTTCATGTCCCAACCACCAGTGGAAGACTTGGTCCATTCGACACGAATAGTGTTGATACCCTTAACCTTTCCAGTTCCATCATCAACAAACTCTTCAGACATGACACAGTATTCACGAGGATCTTTGCCCATGTGCTGCTTGACCTCAGTGTGACCATAGTCTACACGGTAGACACGTGGCCATTGAGGCCATGGGTTATCACGGGCACGCTCATTTGGTGGTTGAGGTAAAAGTTCAAAGTTTGTAACTGACTTGGCACCGTGTCGGACGGAAGTACCAATGCAATCGTTTCCGGTATCACCACCACCAATGACAACAACATGCTTGCCCTTAGCGGAGATGTATTCGTCATCAGCAAGCTCCGAGTCAAGTAGAGACTTGGTGTTGCGGTGCAAGAATTGCATGGCGAAATGAATACCCTCCAGGCTTCTGTTCTTGATTGGAAGATCACGAGCTACAGTAGCTCCAGTAGCGATAACTACTGCGTCATTTTCAGCCTTGAGATCCATGAGTTGAACATCTTGACCAACTGCGACGTTAGTCTTGAACGTGATTCCCTCGGCAGCCATGAAATCTGTACGACGCTTGACAATCTTCTTGTCAAGCTTCATATTAGGAATACCATACATGAGCAGACCTCCAGCACGGTCAGCGCGTTCATAGACAGTGACTTTGTGACCAGCTTTGTTGAGTTGATCAGCGCAAGCAAGACCAGCTGGTCCAGAACCAATGATGGCAACGGTCTTGCCAGTGCGGACCTTTGGTTCTTGTGGAATCATCCATCCCATATCGAACCCACGATCAATGATGGCACACTCAATTGATTTGATTCCAACGGGATCTTCGTTGATACCAAGCACGCATGCACCTTCGCAAGGAGCAGGGCAGACACGACCGGTAAATTCCGGAAAGTTGTTGGTCATTAGGAGTCTATTAAGTGCATCTCGCCATTGGTTTTCTAGAAAAAAGTTGAATATTAGATTTGAGGTCTCAAAGAGGGAAGATAAGGCGGGGCGGGGCGGGCGGGGCGGAAATTGGAAGGGGCAACGAAAATGGAAGGGGCGACAGAAAGGGGAAGGGGAGACGGAAATGGAGGAGGGAAGACGGAAAGGGGAGAGGAGTAGAGGACGTACGGAATACCAACTCGTTCCATTTAGGAATGATATTGGAGATTGGACAACCTGAATCAGATTGACAGAACGGAACACCACAGTCCATGCAACGAGCAGCTTGATATTTAAGCTCATCCTCGTCGAGACGCTTGGAAAGTTCAGCCCAGTCGCGAGTTCTTGTCTTGGCTGAGCGATATTTCTCGGATCTACGTTGATACTTCATGAAACCCTTGGTTTTGTCCAAAACCAAAGATCTCTTCTTTTCAACGGCGGAATCACCAATAGTCTCTTCGATATCCTGGAGATCAGATGGCTTCTTGTTCTCCTTTTGGTTCTTCTCATGTTGTTCACGAACTGGGTTTCCTGGGAGGAATGGCAAGGCAAATCTTGCCTTCTTGGCAGCAGCAGCCTTGGCAGCTTCTTCCTGGAGGACACGCTTGTAATCAACAGGCAAAACCTTGACGAAACGACGTAGTGCTCTGTTGAAATCAAGGAGAATGCGGGCAGCAAGCTCCGAGCCAGTGTAGTGATGGTGATCTTCAATCAAGCTTCGGACGAATGCAATTTCAGCTGGATCATCAATACCTGAAGCTTCAACCATCTCCGTGTTCAGCTTGGACATGAAATCTTGTTGGATATCGAGAATGTATGCAATACCACCGGACATACCGGCAGCAAAGTTGCGTCCAGTAGATCCCAAGATAAGAACACGACCACCAGTCATGTACTCGCAACCGTGGTCACCGACACCCTCTACAACTGCTGTGGCTCCCGAGTTTCGGACAGCGAATCTCTCAGCGGCAACACCACGGAAGAATACAGTTCCGCTGGTGGCACCATAAAGGCAGACGTTACCGACAATAACGTTCTCTTCGGCCTTGAAGACGGCAGAACGGGGTGGATAAACAATCAAACGACCACCCGAAAGACCCTTTCCTACGTAATCGTTTGCGTCACCTTCAAGCTCTAGGGTAACACCAGGAGCAAGGAAAGCACCGAAGGATTGACCGGCGGATCCCTTGATATTGACGTGGACGGTATCCATGGGCAATCCATCCTCACCATATCTCTTCGAGATTTGGTATGACAGAGAAGTACCCATAGCACGGTCAGTGTTGACAATGTCACACTCAATCCGTGAAGGAAGACCCTTATCAAGAGTCAACTCAGCTTCAGAGATCAACTTGTTGTCAAGGCGGACGTAAAGTCGGTGATCTTGTTTGCGGACGTTGAAGGTAGCAACTCCAGGTCTGAGCTTGTGAGCAGGAGTAAGGATGAGAGATAGATCGATGTTGCTAGTCTTCTTGGTGCGGAGATCATCTCGTACTCTTAGACATTCAGCATGTCCGACCATCTCATTGATTGTTCTGAAACCAAGCTTGGCCATGATGGCTCTCAATTCGTTTGCAATGTAGTAAAAGAAGTTTATAACATGCTCCGGAGTACCTTGGAACTTCTTTCTAAGTTCTGGATCTTGTGTGGCTATGCCAACAGGGCAAGTGTTCCTAATAGTAATTAGCAAATGTTCTAGCAATAAAGGATGTTATTAGGTTCTCATACAAGTGACATTTTCTCATCATAATACATCCCATGGCAATAAGAGGGGTAGTAGCAAAGCCCCATTCTTCTGCACCAAGCAGACATGCAATTGCAACATCACGACCAGTTCGAAGTTGGCCATCAGTTTGAACAACAACACGACCACGGAGATCGTTCAAGACTAAAGTTTGGTGAGTCTCGGCAAGACCAAGCTCCCATGGCAAGCCGGCATACTTGATACCAGTCCATCGAGAAGCACCAGTTCCACCATCGTGACCAGAAATCAAGATGTGATCAGCCTTCGCCTTGGCAACGCCA